TTGAGAGTTTGACGAGGACCATTGTATCAACTCACTCTCTCTCTCTCTCTTTCCTTTTATGACGTGAAATCATTGGTCAGTGGAATGCAAACAAGGTATAATTACGGGAAAGCTCGATAATGGAATAACAGTGCCAGGATAAATAGCGTGAATGGATCCATTGGTGCATGGCTGATACAATTCCATCAATATAGCAATTGTAATGGGAATGGCCTAAAGGATGATAAACAAAGCAAAGCGATTATTAACGATACTTATGATGTCTCTATAATAATAGTATAAATTTCTAATTCATAGTCAACTATATGCTTCAATCACATGACAAAATTCAAATGGATATTTTGATATATATATACATACATTCACACATCACACAAGACATTGATTTGCTGTTGGTTCCATCTAATTTCACTATTTCATATTTTAAATATTAAAAAAATAACATAAATTTAATTCAGAAAATTATTTTTTAGCAATAATAGTATTATCTCTTCAGTCAAAAATCAAAAAATATAAAAATAATTTTTTATTAACAATCCACTGAAGTTTATAAATAAAGAGACAATTGTTTTGTATTAAGTGGAAAAGTCGATGTTCGGTCAGACGAGTAATAAACCCTTTTTATTAATAAGGAAAAAATAAATTTCAAATTTATATTAAAAACGAAAGAATTTAACGTTCAATACTTGGTTCTATCAAAAAGTGTTTCTCCCAAGTAGAAAAATCAGTGTTTAGTCAGACATAATGAATAATTGATCAAAAGAACAAAATAATTTTCCTAAAGTAGAAAAATCGATGTTTGGTCAGCCAAGTATTCAAATACAGTGTCCGTAAATAAAATAAGCATAAAAATTAACTACTTATGTTTTTAATTAATTAATTAAAACAATTTTTTAAGTAGAAAAAGCGATGTTTAGTCAGACAAATAATAAACCTGGAGACAAAAAGTATATTTTAATTAAATTAAAAAAAAAAAATTTTAATACAAAATATTTAGATACTTTTTTTTAAAGATGGTCAAAAAATAATTTTATTGTGATAATTTGAACAGTTAATCAAATTACTATGTGATATAATAAACTGATTTAAATTTGAAAGAGTCGTTTTTCCGTGGCTGTTAGGTGCGGAAAAGAATAAAGTTGCCAGCGAAAGAAAAAGTGTGAACCTTTTACGAGTTTCCTGTGGTCGTCTTTCTCTTTCTTCACAAAGCGCAATATATCTATAAATTGTGTCTGGAATTTTTTTTCCAAAGGCTTCATTTTCCTTTATATAATAATATTTATTTTCTCTCTAAAAATTAATAAATATTCTAAAATATAAAAAATGCTAATTGTAAGAAATAAATTTAAATCCGTTTTTTTTTAAGAGACATGAAATAAAAATTTGTAAAACGCTTGTAATGTAATAAATATGATCTTTTAAAAATAGCTTTTTTTTAAGAAATGTTCAAAAAAAAAATCGACTATCACTTTAAGAAATTGAGTTCTTGAGATCAAAAGAAAAACCGCAGTACAAATCTGGTCATGCACACTAGATTGGCAAGAGTCACGTTGTAGGGAATAAAAGCTAGTGGCACTTTGAAGAGATTGCGTCCTATAACATCTCTCCGACCTGAGGAGAGAGAATCCCCTCCATATAATACTTTTCAGTGGTTCTAAGATACTTGTATTGAACAAGGTATCTTTTCCTGGCGAAACGTGTATCAAGAAAGTCTTACGGTATTATGCAACCGCAAGCCTTCTTTATACTCACCCACTTTATTATTCCAATAAAATAGGATTACTTACTTTCCGTTTATAAGAATATACTTTATATACATACACACAGTGCCATCATGTATAACAGATCAAAAACTACTCTATTTAAAAAAAAAAAATTCTTTTGCATATTTTTTGAAAACAAATTTTCCTACAAAAAATTATGAGCTGTCTGACAAAAATTTACTTCTACTACTTATACAAAAAATGTACAAACTTCTTTTATTAATTTTTTTATTTGACTGCTTATACAAAAAAAAGATTGTCTGCTACAAATTGACCTTTACTACTTATAAGAAATTTATAAAATAATTTTCCAGTCTTAGGGAAAAATTTGCGTTTACTACCGAATTCAAATAAAAGGGACATTAAAAAATTTTTTCAATAAAATTTTGTTGAAGATAAAATTCAACGAAAGCCTACCAAGATTATAAAAAAACATTATTTTTTTAACTATATACAATTAAATTGAAAATCATTTGATTAATTTTATTATATTCTTGAAAAATCGTAAACAGCAGAGAACAATAAAATATGTGCATATAGAGAAAAATATAATCAAACCAATTTTTGTGATGAAAATTTCGTTGCTCTTTTGAAAAACATAAATTTCCCCGGGGTTGGTGATGATAAGAGGAAAAAGGGGGTTGAGTTGAAAAAAAAAAGTCTTGAAACATTTACAAGTTTTGTGAAATATGTTGGATTTTTTTTCTGTACGCCTCTCTCTCTCTCTCTCCCTCTCTCTGAGAAATACATTTCTGAATTACCCTTCTGAAAGGAATGTGAGATTATGGTAAAATTGCCGTGGCTGCTGCGGTACAACCACCGTGGATTCATCCTCGAAAATGAAGGGTAAGAGAGAAAATATCCTCGTCGAGTTTTACAATTTTCTATCAAGAAGATGATGCGCGCCTTTTTTTTACACTATAACAGTGCAAGTAATATTCAATTTTTAATGGCAAAAAACTATATGGAAAATAAAAAGCAATATATTAAGGAAAAATAAATATTTAATATTTTTATAAATAAAATATTAAAAAAGTAATAGAAAATTTAGTAAATTAATTAAAAATTGTTTTTGTTTTGAATTAAAAGTGCATTAGGATTATTTTTTGTCTGACTGATACTGTATTTTACTACTGATACAAAAAATAACGATAAATGGAAAAAACTACGTTTGGTTTAAAATTGCTTTTACTACTGAAACTAAAAAAGCTACGTTTGGCTTAAAATTGTCTCTACTACTGACAATAAAAGTTACGCCTGACCAAAAATAGATTTTACTACTGACACCAGATTTAGATTAACTATTATTATTATTATTATTATTATAAATATTATTTTTTGTCTGACTGATACTGTCTTTTACTACTGATACAAAAAATATGGAGAAGTTGAAAAAACTACGTTTGAGTTAAAATTGCTTATTATTATTATAACTATTATTTTTTGTCTGACTGATACTGTCTTTTACTACTGGTACAAAAAATAAGAAGAAGTTGAAAAAACTACGTTTGATTTAAAATTGCTTTTACTACTGAAACTAAAAAAGCTACGTCTGACTAAAAATATATTTTACTACTGATTTAGAATAACTAGGATTATTTTTGTCTGACTACAACTATTTTTTTCTACTGAATTACTGATAAAAATGCTTACGAGAATAAAAAAATTCCTTTTATTATTAGACACTACATTAAAATATATTTAGGAATTATTTACGTCTGACCTAAATTGACTTTTGCTACTGCTTCCAAAAATAGTGACGAGAATTCAAAAAAGCTTGCGTCTGACTAAAAATTGCTACTACTACTGACAAGGAAAAAAAATTTAGAAGATTCAAAAAAAAAAACTTATTTCTCTGCAAATATCCGTTTCACTATAGTAATAAATAATAAATCAATTTTGATGAATGAGAGATTCGTGTATAAATTGTATCTAAAATTTGTCTAGTTCCTTTTAAAGGAAAGTGATAAAATGTTAGTATAGAGGAAATATTTATACGCGGACATGAATTGTATGTAGTTCAATGGTCCGATTCAAGGGCCAATAATATTTTGCAACATAACCTTGTTCATTCATGCGACAATTGTAGCCTCTCCTTTGTCAACGGAAACTGGTACTACCTCTCTAGAAATGTTAGAGAAATATTTCCGCTTTCGTTGCGTGAAGTCTCTCGTGCATGTATAAATTTATATATATATATATATATAATCCTAGGTCGACTCCTCTTGGGTGCCTTGAGTGCAAGATTCTTTTCTTACCATCATGTATTGTAACTCCTTGAATACATTGGTGTGTGCGATACCGAGAGCGAGTAATATATATATATATACATGTACCGACATGTACATATCTATGTAAAATATCCTGCAGCAAAAATATTTGTAAGGATGCGTGACGTGAAAGCTTTTGCTTTTCACGCCAAATCAAGAATCCTCGAATGTTGAAGATTCACGGAAAAAAAATTGCTTCCCATTTTTCTTTCTCTCTTCTTCGTAGACCTTTCATTATAATCAAATATCTATACTGAAAATGTAATATTAGAAATTTATTTTCAATCTCTTTATTGTATTCCTTTGTCTGACTAAAACGTACTTTTACCACTGATACTACAAAAAGAAAAGAAACCTTTTGCAAAAAAATTAAAATAATATATTATTTAAAAAAAAAACTAAGAGGATTTGCAATATCAGATAAATGGATCGAAAATATGTCATTAGGAAGATGCTTAGCTTCTTCTTCTTCTTTTTTTATCGCATATTAAAAATCTTCATTTTCAAGTAATTCAAGTAAAAGGTTTTGAAAGGTTGATTGATTACCTACTCCCGATATAAATACATGAAAAAGAAACCACATTTTTCCCCTATAAGAAGAAATTCATCTTAAGTGATAAGAAAAAAAAAAGTTACATTTTCAAATTATATTTTACTTTTTTTTCACAAAACTTGAATAGTAATTCGTCGTGTCTTTAACGAATATATGTAATCCTTGAAAAAAATTCTTTTATAATATTTTTATGTAGATCTTCTTTGATGTCCTGATTATTATCTTCCGAAAATCCTTTCCAAAAAAAAATTCTTGTAATAATTTATTTCTTTAAATATATTGAATAGAATTAAAATAGAATTAAATAAAATTAAATAAAATTAAATAAAATTAAATAAAATTAAATGAAGAGATTAATTTTATTTAAACGTAATTGGAATTAAATTAATAAAATAAATTTTTTTTCCGTTACAGGATTGTTTAAAACGAATGGTCATAAGATTCCTGGACCAATGTGCGATTACGAGTTTGTCAGTTCTCAGCTTACACCTCAGCATGGACGTTTCTATTCGCCACGTTATCCATCCTCCTACCAGAAGAACATCCGTTGCTCCTACTACTTCCGGGCAAGGTAGGTAACTATCCGAATTTACTCAGAGCACTTCCTCTCACGTCGCCCCCTACCCCACTCCTTTTACATCAGTGTGAATTTCCCAGAATCCTTCTAGATTTCATGTATATATTCTATATATATATACGCCGAGAGAGAGAAAGAGAGAGAGAGAGTCTCGTCATCCAGAAATTTTCTGGCTTCCGGCTCGGTACAACTTTCCTCATTCCTCATCGTATCTCTCTTTCTCTCTCTCTCTCTCTCTCTCTCCTTGTTATGAGACCGCAAAACTTTATATATCATCGAGCATTGCCTACGTTTTAGGACCGACTGTAAAGACGCGAATAACAGAAACTCTAAGCTCTTATACTTCCCCTTGTGATATCAAGCCCGTTACGAGCTTAGAGGTGTCATTTCCATTCTCGAATTCTTTCTCTCGTACAATTTATAGATATTCTATTTTTTTCTATTTTTTATTTTGCCGTAAATTATGCAAAATATTAGAAAATCAATGAAAGAAAAAAAAACAAAGAATGACTCATAGTTTACTATGAATTTACAGTGTAATATTATAATTACTTTTTTTTTTACTTTCAGATCTAAAGAGAGAATTCGTATCGTCTTTGAAGAGATATCACTGCAAAAGGGCGATTTGAGGTGAGTAATTTTTTTCCATTTTTGAAAAAAAAACATTTTTTATGTTGAAAGAAACTCTATTTTTGTCTGCACGACATTTATATTATTTGTTTGCAAACCGTAGTAAAAAAAAAAATTTTTGTCTGGAGAGAATTTCTGCAGATCAATGTAAAAAATTTATAAACTATCCCAAGTCACGTATAGATCGCACCATTAAACTGAGGATATTCACGAAGCTCATCAATTTCAAAGTCCTATCAAGTTTTACAACTCTTAGTGTGTAGTGGTGGGCATTAGAAAATCATGTTGCAAAACTTTTTTTTTTTGCCACCGTTTTCAGAAAAAAGTCAATATTAGCCACTGTAAATCTTTTTAAGTTCAGAAAATAGTAATTACTAGAAATAAATAGGAATAATTATAAAACGATTATAATTATATAAATAATTTATAATTGAGAATAGAAAAAGTAGTATAGAATTTATATCATTCTGTCTTACGCAAATTGATCTTTACTACTGATACCTGATTTAGTACAATTTTATCTGGTGTGTCTGATTACAAGTTTCTTTTACTACTAGAAGAATTAGAGTAGAAGACTAGAATTTAAATTCTCGTGTCTGACTATAACAGTTTTTACTACTTGTACAAAAATTACTTGTTTCATGTCTGACTAAAAATATGTTTTACTACTGGTACCAGAATTATTAGTATTTAAAATGTTGTGTCTGACTAAAAAATACTTTAACCACTAATAACAAAATTATTGCTGTGTACTACAATATGTCTGACTAAAACTGTATTTTACTACTATCTGAATATTGCAGTCATTTACTACTGATGATAATATTTCCAGAACGAAAGATTTGAAAACTATGTATAATCTAAAAAATTTATTAATTATTAAAAAAAGTAATTTAGGTAAAAAAAAATTTTTTTTAAAGTAATTCCTAATTTTAGTTTTTAGCCAAAGAATAAATTATCATTTAATGTAATTATTAATAATTTTCAAATTCTGCCACTCCTTTTTTTCTTTCGTCCTCAAAATAAATAATAGCTTATGCATCTTGCTTCCAATTTTCTATCTCAAAGTTGCAGAGACCCTAAAACCCAAGAGAGTGATTTCGTGTGGGTTTAACATGTCAAATCGAGATTCGAAACTCGGAAACTAATCCCTAGATGTGTTACTGAAGGGAGGGGGTCAGTGATAAGTCTTGTCCCTCACAGACTTCCAATCTGTGTGAAATGCCTCGAAGTTCTAATTTGTAATGTCGGATGAGTCATGTGTGATACCTAATATCATGAGCACAAATTTCAAGTTTACAGTTTACTCAAAATCCAATTTTCCTTCGAGTTATATGTGTTTATTACTTACTAACTTATCAAATAGAATATATTACTAATATTATTACATTGAATATATAAAGTAATATATTATAGAATATAAAATTATATTATTCATAGAATTTATATATCGCAATTTGAAATTATTATTTAATATCCTAATTTAAAAAAAATATACGTGACCCGATATAGAAAATAAAAAAAAAAAAAAATTAAAATGATCGACCTAAAAAAAATCAACAAGTTTGTAATCAATTTTTTCAATATTTAATAGAAAGTTCGAATTGTATTTCTTCTCTCAGTTCTTACATATTTGAAATCAGTGGTGAAACTTTGTAAGAAATAAAATTAGCATAATCCGGAAATCTGATCACATGATACTATACTTCAGTTGAATTCTCGACAAAGAAGAAAGAAAGAAAAAAAAGAGGTCGACGCACTGAATTATGCATATCGTTTTCTTTGACCTCATAATCTTGCAACGACGCCAAATTTCACTTTAGAAAGATTTAACCATATCCAAAATATCCAATGCACAATTTTTATTTTCCTCCTATTTTTTGGAAATAAGAGAAAATTTCGTCCCTATTTTAAAGAAACAAAAAAAAAAAAAAATTCGTTGTAATTTTTTTTCAAACTTTTTATTTGACAAAAAGATTACAACTTTCATTAACAGGAAAAGAATACTCAAGTGTTTTTTTCCTCTTAAACACTAAGTAACAAGTTCTTTATATTTTTTTTTCTTTTTTATTCTCAAAAATAAGTCAAGTATGACTTTATGTTTTGATAAGAGTCGAAGCTCTCAAAGGGAAAACACGAAACAACGTCGAACGATCGTTTGTTCTTATCTTAACAGGAATGGATAGCCACACTAGAGTAGAAGATTGATCGTACAAAGAATGGTCCATGAAAATTGCACGAGATTCCCGACGAGAACTCACCTCCTCGACCCCCCCACCCCTCCAATTTCTCCACCTCATCTCTATACCCCTATTCCCTTTTATCTTCTATTTCTCTACGTTTCTGTCAATGTTTTTACCCTCAGAACACAAGTCTTTCTTCTTTTCCAAATAAGGTGTGTTCTGTTGAGAAAATAGAATTTAAAATTGTCATGTACTTTTGCAAATATTTAAATTGCACGTAACAAAAATAATATTTTGGTAAAAATTTTAAATTTTTTAGGAAATAAATATGATGAAAAAATTTATAACATTATGTAACAATAAAACAGACTGTTGAATTTTTTATCAGTAGTAAAAATCTGTTTTAGGTAGACAGATGTAAATTTGGCTAATATTTACATTAGTAGTAAAAGGCAGTTTTAGTCAGACAGATAGTTATAAATCTTTTTTGTTATTTTCTGGAAGTAGTAAAAGACTGATTTAGTCAGACAGATCGTTATAAATTTGTCTATTTGTTCTAGTAACAAAAGTATGTTTTAGTCAGACAAAAACAAAATTTTCACATCAGTAGTCAAAAGTCAGTTTTAGTCAGGCAGATCGTTATAAATTTTTGTATTGCTTTTGTGGCAGTAGTGAAAGTATATTTTAGTCAGACAGATCGTTCTGCATTGTGTATTAGTAGTAAAATCTCATTTGAGTCAGCCTGGAAGTAGTAAAAAACTAGTTTAGTCAGACAGGCGTTTCGTCTCAGTAGTAAAAGTCAATTGTAGTGAGACATGTCGCTATAAACCTATTATTTTCTGCAAGTAGTAAAAAATCTGCTTTAGTCAGAAAAACCATTCTAAATTTTGATTGAATTGTGTTTCAGTAGTAAAATTCGTTTTTAGTCAGACAGAAAAAAAAATTATCGAATTTATCGATTATTAATACGACAATCAAATAATATTATTATATATATATATATTATCTGAATAAATCTGAAAAGTAGAAAAGACCTCATGACACAAAATATTCTCTCCGTGCAGAAGGTTATCTTGGTTTCTGACTTTTCAAGTAACACATTGAGAGCTCACTCTTCGATTTGTGCTGTGTCCCAAGAGATTTCACGAAATTGTACCTATTCAGTAATTCTTACTATAGAGAGATAAATTCTCACAGTTTATCCAGAGACTGTGAGAGAGTGATATTTACACTGAAATATTTTATCCCACTCAAATGTAATTTAATTTTATTTACAAAAATCCATTATTGTCAACATAAGTTTTTTGTTTACTATTTAAAATGTTTTAATTCAAACATTCAACAATTAAAAAATTAATTTAACAATTAAATCAAAAATTAATTTAACAATTAATTCAAAAATTAATTTAAAAATAATTTTAAAATAATTTAAAAATAGAATCGTAAAAATAATTTTTCAATTATGAGAAGCAAAGGAAATTGTTTTTTATTGACCTAACTGCTGAAAATAAATTTACCAATAATAGATATTTAATTTCCCCAAGGGTCGCAAATATATTTAAAAATTGAGTTAAATATAAAACGAAAGTTCATGAATTCTAACGAATCACTTAACGTCAATTAAAGTACATTGACTCTATTTTTATTATGAGAAAAAAGAGAAAATAAATTTTGTAATCAAGAGACTTAAAATGAAAGTTCCCACTCTCTTTCAATTTTTTTGTTATTTATTCTTTTCACAGTGATTAAAGAGAGTTTACCATGGGGGGGGGGAAAAATGACATTTTTTCCAAATATTTCCCTCCCTAAGGGAGCAAAACAATTTTCATACACGAAAAAGTGATCAAGTCTAACTGAAAAGCCGCAACATGAAAAATAAGGCTGATGATCAAAAATTCCTTTGCCAGAGGGAAATTTTCCACTTTGTAGGCTAGATGGAGGGAAAAAAAAAATTCGATTTACATTTTTAATCAGTCGAGGTATAGTAAAATGTCAGTGTTGCTTTTTCACAAACTACATCTGTTGTGAATCGCAAGTTGGTGAACTTTAGGAGGTAGATCACACCACACTCGGAATGAAATTAAGGAAGCTCAATACAGAATTAGGAGAGTGTCCGAGGATTTATCAAGGATTAACTACTGCACTGCTGCTTCTACAGTTGTGGCAGGATACGCGACCGATTCTCTCGACCAAGTCAAGCTTGTATTATCACAATTCTCTTTTATATATATATATATATATATACATATATACACATAAGACTTTTCCACACGTACTTTGTTCACTTATTCGGTAACTTTAGATGTAAAATCGTTAAGCGGCGAAAGGTTATATACAGAAAACCAACTTCTCTGATAGGGGTTTAACTTACTTTCGAAATGTGAACTTTAATCTCCTTTTTCCAATGTTGTAAGAGAACAGTCAGAATGTGAATTTTAGATATGCTAATATTCAACGATGAAACTACTTTTAGAAACTCTCTTTGTGAAAGTGAAGAATTAAAGTTCTGATAAAAAAAAGAATCGCAATCAAAAGGAGACTTTTTTTTTAGTTAAAAAATATTTTCAAAGAAATCCTAATGTATTTGTTTTGGAAAATAAAATTAACATCAAATTTATTTCACAATATGATTCAAAAAGTAGTTTGTGCGTCAAAATTTAATTTGATGAGAAGAGAGTTTTGCATGAAAAGGTTTTTAGAACTGTATACCATGAATGGCCATTATACGTCAAGAGTACTTCATATCCGAGTGTGAGTAAAGTTTATTTTTGATTCTCTCGCTTTAATTTAGTTAAAATCAAGCATTTATCAATAAAA